GAAACTAATTTTGGCTTTGAAATGAAAAAAAAAAAAACGAAAAGGACGCGAGCCTTTGTAAAAAGAAAAGTTGCGATCTACTTCAACGTTAGTCCGCTTACTCGTCACAGACGTGTCGTCCGTTGTGATACAAGAAGCAAAAATAGAAACTGAAACAATCTAAAAAGATGAAGAAAGAAGTGAAAGAAAGAAAGGAAAGGTAAAGAGATAGATAGGCATTCTGAGTATCCACATTCTGAGCATTATGGTCTTTCTGACTAGAATTTTGTAAGAAATATATTATGATTTCATCACGTCGGTTAGGTATTAACGTGATATTAGCTTCTTGAACAAATACTTTACAGTTAATTATTGATCTATCGACGCAAGCGGTCGTTCCTTGGGACTAGAGTCGTTAACAAAATAAAACTTCTACTAACTAGTGAATACTCTTAGGGCCAAGTAAAATAATTCTACTCTTTTTTTCACGATATGTAGAAAACTGTGCACTGAAAAAATATTTGGATTACGTTACTCAGCCCCTTTGTCAAATTAAAAGTTTCGACTCTTGTCCCCAACGAGGCGGGAGACATTTTTACATCTGTTCCCGGGACATTTTAAAGAGATATTAAACATCTGGAAAAATTTGTTAGCAAATAAAGAATATTTCTTTCATTAGTACAAAAATATATGCATATATATATTATATAAATATATTATACATGTGAATATATTACATATATATATAAAATAGAAAATTTTGAAAACTCATCATTTTAGGATCAGAATTTTAGTAGTTCCAGTGTTGAAATATTGGTCTGCTATTAGATATTGTGCTGTTGTATAGAGCAGTGTCGTCTTGATACAGGTAACGGGAGTATTGCACAGGTCTAGAGAGGCAGACAGGTAGAGGACGAAACAGAGCATCGGAAGAAAAAGTCCCTAGTATTCTTAGTATATACATAATGGAGAGGTAGGCTTCGCCGCAATGACGCTCGTCTGTGGAAGCAGGTGGCCCAACAACGTTCTCTTTGTGCGCACTGTGTAACACGTGTGCCTTCGAGGATTCCTCCAGATTTAGACCAACGTCTCATCGCGTTAACGTTCTCCGTTTTTCCGGCGAATTGTCTCCGACAAATATGAAACCGAACTTTCACGGGAATAAAATGGAGCGTGTTTGAGCGTTCGAGAATTTTCAGAGTTCAGCATTATGATCTTTGAATAATTTTTTTTTTTTTTTGAAGAAAGAGTGAAAGAGTGAAAGAGAGAGAGAGAGAGAGATTTTCTTTATAAAAGTTCTAGCAGGTACTCTTTTTAAACATAATAACTTTAGACGAATCAATATTATCTCTTGAAATTGGCCAGTTTAGAGCGGACTTTCACGTAAGAAAAGAGTCCACTTATCGCTTAATTACATCTTTCCCAGTTTAAACTAATTAAATCTTCGTAATTGAGTTGAGATAAGGAATTCCTGAGATAATCAATTTTTTTTTTACGTTGCCAGACTTCCATTACGCTCTCGCAGTGTCAATTTACATGCACGTATTAATAGCCGTTCAATTAACTATCGGGAAATTTACGACTTAATTCGAAGAAAGGGCTCCTCCTCTCGTCAATTTTCCGTCGGATAGTCAACCAACTATTTCCCTTAAGCTTGTTACACTCTTAGCCATCTATGCGTGCAGAATACCTACAGAATCAACTTTTAATCATTTGTAATATTATTCTTTATTCGATAAATAACAATGAAACATCGCTTTTTTTATTTGTTTGCACCGCTCCTTTTTTTTATTTGTTATTTTCCACTAATTACCAGCGCAATTTAAATTCTTGATCCCACGAGTACAGAATATTTAATCAAAAAACAAGGGGAAAAAAAATTATAACGAATACTATGACGAAAAAAAAAAAAACACATGACTTAACGTGAAATAGAAATTCTAACTCTTATTTCATATCAAGAACCACGTAATAATCAAGGACAATATCAGATCAAACGAAGATCTACAATACGTAGTGAATAACTTCTACCAAGAAAATTCCTTTTAACGGATTAACCAAAAAATTAGACCAAGAATTATACTGAATGCACTTTGAGTGGCAGAGAAGATTCTACAGGATTAATCCCACCACTGCTTTCTAAAATCATCTGAAAAGAATAGAACTACCTAGTCGCTAATGACCTCGACTTTAAACCTGCATAAAAAAAAAAAAAAGAAATTATAAACGTAAAAGTGAAACTAAAATCGTCAAGCATGTACGTACGTTCGTTGAATCAGCGAATCGATTTAGAAGAAAACTCGGTGAAACCTGCTCTGATATTTCTAGGGATGCATGGTTAATATCGTCAACGTAAGCTACTTAATTTCATCCGCGGAAGGAAAGAAACGTGGACAAAGAGCGTCGAAACTTTCGTTTCCTACGTGGCCGGAATAGCAGCTTAGAGAGAGAGAGGATCCGCTTGTTTCTTAATGAAAGGCTCCCCGGCCGGGACTCGGTGCTTTGCGACAGTGCCATTGTGATTACAGGAACCTCTGCTCTATCGGCTTGCCGGGGCAATTATAGGAGCGTGCAAAAAAAAAAAAAAAAAGGAAGAATGAGAAAAAAATAAAAGAAAAGAAAGAATCGCAAGCAGTATGCACGAATTACACACTGCCGGTACTGTTAATTACCAGCTTCTTATTAACTGCATTCACTTATACATATGCACGTGGATCAATACGTGCATCCAGTGGCTTACTCTCAGCTTCTCTCTTTCTATAAACGTCGCGATAAATTTAGTTTTGTATATTTCTATTTGTAATATTTCTAAAAGACGGATCGGGACGAGGGTAACACGCGAACTGAAAGTTCGACGAAATTTCATACACATTTCATAATAACAAGAGAACGTGTCAAATAATCTTCCGACGTTGAATCGGAACGTTTTCAAATCGCGCGAGCACACCCCCTTTAGAATAAACATTTTGAGAAGTGTTTGTAAAACTGCGTAAACCATTTAATTTATATTTACATAAAACACGCTGCGAGGATTAACGTTACACCCCCGCGCGCGCGATAAAATGCCGTCAATTTTGAGCTACGACGAGATACTCTCACAGCTGCACGCGCGATAAAGCAAATATTTCACTTGCTGAATATCATCGATGAAATCGCGTTACGCGTTCGAGGACTTGCTCTCGAACACGCGACGGTTTTTTTTTCTTTTTTTTTAAATCTTTCGATTTCGCGACGAACGAACGGTGGAGAGAGAGAGAGGAGGCGAAACGAAGATTATCATCATCAAGATTCGATTTTCCAATTGGCGTACTCGGCACACCGCATAATTGCACGTAAGCAATACG